TGAGATACGCCAAAACGCCGGGCCAGCACGCGCAGGGATGTTCCAACGCGTCCCTTGGCGGCATTCAAAAGAAGGCGCTTCTTCTGGGGCCCAAGTTTGGAGGGTTTTGCGCCAGCTTTCCCTTTACCGGCGTGCTTACTGCTACCCCTTGTCTCAATGTTCTTTTATATACGGTAGGCAGTTCTTCTCGACACTCCTGCTACCTCCAGCCGTGATACAAGCTCGCTTTTTGGTAGGAAATGGTGTTCTTTGGCAAAATCGGCCACAAATTCATGAACCTGCGTTTTAGTCAAAGTCTCCATGATAAGTGAATATTGCACGAAATTAAAATAAAAATGTTGTGGCGAGTGCACAATTGTTAGGTCTTCATATGCAAAGAATTTCAGTGACATTGGGTGACGTCAGTGTAAATAAAAATAAATCAAACTTTTGTGCCAAAAATTAGTAGACACCCGTTAGTGTGATAATTTGAATGAAGACAGGGATAGCTCCGAAAAAACAACGCTCCCAGTTTTTTTTGCCAATATTTTCGACCCAAGGCAGTAGCAGATAAGTGATGCCAGTTTAGAAAATTTACGTCTAATATCCGTCTAATGATGCACCAGCAAATGGAGGCCACCTTTTTGCTAATATTTTTTGCTAACGTAGCGGCGCCCATCTACGACTTTTAACCCGCGCCGTGCTGGTGGTCTGAGTTTTCCGTGTCGTGCTAGGGGGGGGGGGGGAGGTCACGTCCCCTCGTCTAACTCGGCTCCTAGGTCGCGTAGAACTAGAGACACGCGGTAAGCGGTTTTCTAGGTTAGGTCAAATAAGGTCAGGTCACCAAAGGTCATCAAAGGTAAAATGTTGCCTATTTCAACAATTTTCGAAACGCCGGCACATAGCTCGGAAACCAATAGAGCTATAGTGCCGCGGTAAAGCGCATTCAATAGCCCTTTCAAAGGTGCTTCTGTGAACTGCCCTCAGAATTGACCTCTGGTCAACGGTCTAGCCTCCAGAGGGCAAAAACTCTAAAAATAGCAGTTTTACGAACGATGTTTTCCTGCAATAGCTTTTGACTCAAGAGAGGCTCGACATTACGTTTGCCAGCATCGCGTTTCTGTCGTCGAGACGCGTCGAATGGACTATAGGATGACCTTGAAAGGTAATTTTGACAATTTGACCTCAGGTCAAGGTCATGACCTCACCGGGAAATGTCATGTTGCATATCAGTCGATCTGTATCGTCAAGCTGAACACAACGGAGGTGTTTTTATCGTTCTAGCATATGTATCTATCAAAAGTTATTTTCAAAAAACTGTTCAGGACCTTTCATGACCTGGGATGACCTGTGGGACACAAGGAATGGTCACAGGTGCAATTTTCTTATTCAGTGTGTTGATTTTACATGTATCCTAATGCTTGCGATTGTCTAGAATGGCGCTCGTCCAAAAGCCTTTCAGTTGTCTCACATAAACTTAGGTATACCTACCCGGTATACCTAATGGAGATTGGAGAGGTCGCAAAACTGACTTGACCTTAGCCCTCGGTATAGCAATGGTGAGCATTTTAACATTCTGGGGTTAGGTCACTTGTCATGACCTGGTGACCTGCCGTTGCATGACCCGGGCCTGACACTTTCACAACATGTGCAAAAAGGTGCATGATAATGTGTGCTGAAAACGGCGGCGCTGCGCACAGCTGTTTTTTTCAGATATTTGCGAAAAACCTGAGGGGGAGCATGACAACGTCCCACACCACGGCGCGGGTTCGACGACTCTCGATTTTGACGACGGTTTGGCGCCCCTTCCAGGGGTGTAGGATCGCAAAATAGGTTGGGGGGGCTGAACCCCGGACGCCGGTGGGGCGGCGACGAAAGGTGCTGAGCGGGGGGGGGGGAGGAAAAAACCAGCAGTGGAAAAGGTGTTGACCGGGGGGGGGGGGGGAGGGAGCGTGGACCGTGGTGGTGAAAAGCGGGTCTATGACTTGAGGGATATGACTTAATCTCCCCCTGGATCCAAGTTCAGGCTTATAAAATAAGGCGTAGGTATTTATATTCCGGCTCAACGTTTTGCAACCACATTTATGCAGTGTATGTTCCCGCTCTTTTCAAATGCAAAGTGATGCCACTAAAACGGTATATGTATGCTCTTCTTATACTTAAGGCTGATGAGAGATTCAATTTCTTGATTGATTCAGTATTTAGATTCCTATCCCCTAGTTTGGCAAACTGTTTCAGGGGTTCCTTGGAGGTACCCCTGCACTTTCCTAAAATCTAGATACTCATTTTTTCACCAATCACCCACTTCATTTCGGAAGGGTCAAGTTTTTGTGTAAAGATTGTAGACTGTTTAATGGCTCCCTTTTGGCTGTTTCAGGGACCTCCTCGACTACTTCTATAGCCACAATAGCGGTATCGACAAAGTAGGCGGATCGTGCTCGGTAAAACAGGACAGTCACAGAACAATTTCTGCTGTAGTATTTCGCAAAACCCCCGCATTCTGCATATCATTGGAAGCAAAATTTTGATTTTAAAGTTGTAGGTCGTGTAGCCACACGAATACTCCCAAAATGCACGAAACAATTGCACGCATATACCTAGGATTTGGCCAAGGGGGGGGGGGGCGGAGGATCCCGGGGGGCCTCCTCTCTACAGGGCGCCTCCTCTCTACAGAGGGCAAGGGAGGATCTAGGCGAACGTTTTGTGGGGGGGGGGGGGGGTCGTTTTACAGGTCGGCCGACATGCCGGGTCTGATGGATGAATTCTGACGAACGGGGGAGGGGGAGCGAGTATGTCGAGATCAAAAGGCATTTCGTCTTCGTCGTTTCTAAGATGAAGCTTTATCGTTATAAGTCACTCGGCTCAGTAGTTTTAGTTAAATCCACCTATACAAGTGCGTCGCCACGGATTTCTTACTGGGAGGGGGGAGGGGCGTATCGACCGACTTAAAAACCCCGAGAAGTTGATATTGTTACCGCACTTTTAGCCTAATGCATTCGTAGCATATACAGTAGCGATCTCTCTATTGACCTGTTAACGAACCGGCGGCGCGAAGCGCTGCGAAAGCCGAAAATTTGCAAAAAAAAAACGTTTGTCAAAAGTAAAACACAGCTCCAAAACACAAATTTTACGACCCTTTTAGTATGCTAGTACAAGCCGGAGTTCCTTAACAGTATAGGTAGTCGACTACAGAATGATGTTCCACTTTTCACAGGCAAATATTTGCCTGGAGTGGTAGGCTGTGCCGCATCACACGGGCTGAGTTCACAAATTATAACTTTGTCCTAATGCTCACAATCGACAGGCGCTGAATTGCGTGATAAACGGCACAACTAGCGCTCCAGTCAACTGATAGCTTCTGAGGAGTGGAACATCATTCTGTAGTCGACTATACACTTAAGGAATTTTGATTCAATTTGACAGGGTTGGTGTTATTACAGTCACGACCTTTTTTATTGTTTGGTGTATGAGTCGGAGGCGCGGAGCGCCGAGAAAATTTGCAAAAGCATTTGTCAAAACACTGCTCCAAATCACAAATTTCACAACTCTTTTAGTATGGTAGTACAAGCCGGAGTCCCTTCACACTCCACAGTACACATATGAATTCCGATTCAATTTGACACGGTTGGTTGGTGTAATTACAGTCACGATCTCGTATTGACCTGTACGTACACAAATTTGCAAAAAAAAATCAAAACACAGAGGGGCCTCCTCTCTAGAGAGGACCACCTCTCTACTGTGGGCCTCCTCTTTTCACAGGGCCTCTCAACTACAGAAGACCTCCTCTCTACAGAGGACTTCCTTTCTACGGAGGGTCTATCTCTTTCAGAGGGCACCTTTTCTTCAGAGGACCTCCTCTCTAGTCTCTACAGGGGACCTCCTCTCTACAGAGGACCTCATCTCTGCAAAGAGCCTCCGGCCTCCCCTCTACTGAGAAAGTCCTCTCTACAGACGGCATCCTCTCTTCAGAGGGCCTTCTGCTTTCAGGCGGTCTCCTTTCTACAGAGGGCCTCCTCTCTACACAGGGCCTTCTTTCTACAGATGGTCTCTTCTCTACAGAGGGCCTCCTTTCTACAGAGGGCCTCCTTTCTACAGAGGGCCTCCTCTCTACAGAGGGGCCTCCTCTTACAGAGGGCCTCCTCTCTACTGAGGAGTCAGAGGGGCACTAGCGGTCAGACACAGACACTAGCAGTTATTCACAGGAGGCCCCAGGAAGTAAGAAGGACCCTAGCTGTCAGGCTGTTCACAGGCCCTGAATATCCTGACGTGATTTTTGGGATTCCCTTGAATTTCTTTCGCCTCCGACGTGATTTTGGCCCCGTGGCCTTCGGCCCACGGGGGCCTCCTCAAAACCCCGAGGGGGGGGGGCACCCCGTCCATCTTGGGTACGTCCCTGAACAATTGTCCTCATCGTTCGTCCTACCGTCCGAGTTCCACCCACATGGCCTTGCTTGCACCCACCCCTACATAAACGAAACGAAGCTGTCAAGTGTCGCGCCTTTGTTTTGTTGTTTTTTTTCTGCTTTCTGCGCCGCTTTAGCGTGCGTTCGGCATCCGGAAAATATCGTTTGGATATTCTCGGCCGGAAAATTATTGGTGGGTGCCTATCTTCAACATGTCTCGTTATCGCGATACCGAACGTAATCCCCGATAATTATCGCTGATCCCGGATAATTTTCCCTGATTATCCGGATGCCGAACGCACGCATAGTAACATCCAAAGGTTTTGTGCTGTATCGTCAGCTGATTATGCCTGCGATGGCGTCAAATTCCGTAAAAATGATTTGGCCTTTTTCTGAAGGCGAGACATAAGAGATATCTTAGAAAAAAATGGAAAAACAGTTAAAGGTTAGTGAATGTGCAAATTTCTTTCACCAAATCCATTTAAGATAATGCCAGTTTATTTTTATTCATTATGACGTTATCATTTTAAAGATTTGACATAATCATAAACATTATCAGCTGACGATATTTCACCGGCCTTGATTTCACCTCTATTTTACTCAAATTTAACTAGTTTTGTTACAAAAACGGTGTGACAACGTTCGGGAGGTGAGATAACCGTTCTTGTAGAATACCGCCCGCAACCGAAGTTGCTTGGTGACGCCTGCTGTACTCGCGTCCTAACATGTTGACCAACTGATTATTTCAGGCTTGCTAAAACCACAGTTGATTTTTATGTGTACCTTCCTGGTTTTGTTTTGCTAGTATGTTCTTTCTAATGACTTGAAAGTCATTTTATAAATTAAATTTACTCCCTCCATTGCAATGCACATTTTCAAAGCCCCAGTTAGTTTTAAGGCCAAAATTGGGTAGTTAGTCGTAAAGCAGAGAGGCGCTTTACCCAGACTCCAGAGATGCTTTCTAATCGGACCAAACCAAACCAAACCTAACCAAACCTGACCTAAACTCACCTACAACCTACAACCAAAAACCTGCAACCACCTACACCCTACAGCCAAACCTACAGCGCATCTCCTTGGTTGCAAAAAGAAGTGTGACGCCTGCTTTACTACTACCCAAAATTGTAACTTTGCCAAGTTGAGCTTTCTTTAATTTGTCCATATTTTATAATGTTGGGGGGGCTGCCTGGCAAGTTGGGGGGGGGGCTGACCAGCAGGTTGGGGGGCTGAAGCCCCCCCCAACTGTATAGGATCCTACGCCCCTGGCCCCTTCGTATGAAGCGCCCCAGATTGCCAGGTCGCCCCTATTTTGACTTGCCGCCCCCCCCCCCCCCTCCCGAAAAATCCTGGATCCGCCCCTGCTGGAAGTAACGATATTGGTCTATAGTTACTAAAAATATGTTTGTCGCCGGCTTTATAAATTGGTTTTATAACTGCTTGTTTTAATAATGTCGGAAAGACACTATTCTCAAGACACAGTTTGTACAATTTGTACAATTTGTACAATTTGTACCATTGTACAATTTGTACCATTATAGCACTGAATGTTGATTTAAATATTTTGGTATTTATTTTATCATGACCACCTCCCACATTTCGCATATCATGAACAATCTTCTTTACTTCTTCCTCATCTGTTCTACACAATTCACGTAGCGGAGTTCCTTCAAAGTTAGGAAGATAATCTATCGGATCTTTATTGGAATGGTTAATGTTATTTTTAAGCTTCCTTCCAACGCTGGTAAAGTAGGAATTGAAGCTTTCGGCAATGTTTTTAGGGCCTTCCACCAGGCCACTATCGGTTTTAAATGCTTCTGGCAATCTGGTGTTATCCGGAGCACTTGATGTTAGTTCCTTAATGATGCCCCAAGTCTTTTTGGAATCCGAAGTTTTTAGGTTATTTTATATGGTGTATGCTGCTTTGCGCGCAATAAGTGCCGTTCTTTCAGTTTCAGCTGCCAAACTATTGTTTCCAAATAAAGTCGCTAGGAACAGCGGGGTTCCCAAAAAGTAAACAAAAGTAAAAGTCTAATATCTTGAAAACCGGTGGTGTGTATTTTTCGGTGAAATTTGGTAGATATTCGTTTTCGCTCTTTCTGAACCGAGCGACATCACTTTCATGCCAATTCATTAACTTTTTTGAAGGTGGGAGGGTCCCTTTAATCTTGTTAGAGAGCTCAAAAGTCATTTTCACGTATGATCTTCCTGCTTTGCAAATCAAAGTTCTCATATCAATAGAAAGCCCTGCATCGATAGTACATTTAGATCGAACATACCAAATATTTTAGCCCCAGTGACGTCGTCGACGTGTCTGAGCACTGTGGGTAATCTCGCGTAAATGTTATATGCGTTCGGGCCCTAATAATGCATGAACCTTGTTTGTTTACAACCGAAAGCTATTGCATATTGCCAATTGCAAATTGGTTGACGCCTGCCCCACCGTCACTGACGTAAGTGGGCATTTCATGATATTTCAAATGTGCTGAATATAATTGTAGGTTGCAAACAATGTAAACCCTTGTGCAAATACGTGAAAAGCAGGATGGAAATAAGGTTTGCGACGTCGTCGCACCAAATTGAAATCAAAGATTTTTACTTGACTTTTGAGTGTGCCAGTGCTCAAGTTGCAGTGCTTAATGTTTCAGGAGGTATCAAACCCGACGTCCAAGGTACCTGCCGAGGGTATTAGTAGAGCAGACATCACACGAAGGTTCTCCAACCAAGGAGAGGCGCTGTACCCGGAGGTGCTTCTAAACAAACCTAACCTGACCTGACCCTGGCCCTGTTTCACCGGTGCTAGCAGCATGCTGCTATCACGTTTCGCGAGCTGACGTCATGTCATGACGCCATGCTGTTGACGTGATGTGTAGTTCCGGCGCACGATTGCCGCGACCTTGGCGGCGGCATTAAGTGACGTATGAGCCTAAAAGTAAGAGTGTACACAGTCATGATAGTAAATTTATTTTTAATATATATTTTCTTAATATGATGTATTTAAAAGAAGTTGGGTTTAAGAAAAATTTGGATGTAAACTTTGAACGTAAACTTTGTTGATGACGTAAAACAATATTGCGGCAATCGTACGCCAGAATTGCCCCTTACGTCAGCAGTATGACATCATCACATTACGTCAGCTCGCGCAATTTGATAGCAGCGTGCTGCTATCACCGGTGAAACAGGGCCCTAACCTAACCTACAAACCTACAACCTGCAAACTTACAAACCTACAACCTACAGACCTACAACCTACAAACCTACGCTACAGCCTGCAAACCTATAACACCTCTCCTTAGAGTTTCCATTTTTGGAAACTCAGTCTCCATAAATAGGTACCGTAAAATGGGGTGTTCAGGGACAGTTTTGAGGTGTTTTGTTATAGGTATAACTCAAGAAGGGTTGGGGATAGAGGCATCAACTTGTTAGCATTTTATGTGGAATTTGGTGCTTTACATGCCTGCTACATTAAAGTTTTAAAAATATATACATGCATATTATTTTTATTATTTTTTATCACTGTCCCTTAGCACCCCAATGTGGGGTGTTAATGGACACCTATATTATTCCAAGAAATGGTCATCAAATGCCCACGATTGGGGTGTGAAAGGGCACACAATTTATTTATTGAAATGTTTTGCATATTCTGTCACAAAACAAGTCAGGTTCATTCACCACTAATGGCCTTTTTAGCCAAGTATGCGTAATGCAGTTTACGCTTCTGGAAAATGTGCTAATTATAAGGTAAACAGAACCAAAAAGTACCCTTCTGTCATCAACAAAACCCATTTTGAAGCTAGTACTTGTCTTTATGTGGCCCTCTTTGTTTTGGCCTTTTTATGATGACATCACATTTACCTATATCAGTCTGCATTGACCCATCATTGTATAAGAGAGTGTTAAAGGGACTATCCCACCTTCTAAAATGTTGTTAAAACCAGTTAAATTGTGCCCGACTTTATAGATTGGATGACCAGAGCCCTGATCGGCGGCCGGCTAGTACTCTTGCCCGCGCTCACATACGTGCACGTTACCCCGGCAACGGGCTATTGACCAATGAGAAGCGAGAAAAGTGTTACGTCACTGCGATTTTTCATATACCTGTGCCCCCCGGACGTGACGTAGTGTGCTCGCGCGCGTGCAGGGTCTCTGCGATCGAAAAAGAGCGCTAGCAGCGCGCCACTCGACGCCGCAATTGTCAAAAGCGGCGTGTTAGTATGCTTTATTATGAATGATGTGTGTAAAAGTGAGTTTTTATGTTGTTAATTCGGAGGAAATGGTTGAAATAAATTAGGTTATTTTTATTTCTGTTGGTTGGAGTTTTTATTCAAAAGATTTCGGTCTATACCATTGATATTTACTGAAAATACCTTCGTTTGAATAAATTGCAGATATTTGGCAACTGAAGTGTTAGGTAAGCCTAAATGATGTGTAAAAAGGTAAGAGACACCCTGATTATCATTTGAGAAACGAAAATATATGAACTTTCCTTATAAGACTCGCTCAATATGCTACTCCGCGGTTTATGCCCCGAGGGTGTCCGAGGGTTCCCGTTAGTTTGTCGTTGGCGCTCGGCTCGCGCGCGAGCCGACGTCACCGCCTGTGACGTCGGCTCGCGAAATACGTCATACCCTGCACACAAAATAGCCGGCTGCCGAACAGCGCTATAGCCCTGATCGGAGCGCTGTTCGGCAGCCGGCTATTTTGTGTGCAGGGTATGACGTATTTCGCGAGCCGACGTCACAGGCGGTGACGTCGGCTCGCGCGCGAGCCGAGCGCCAACGACAAACTAACGGGAACCCTCGGACACCCTCGGGGCATAAACCGCGGAGTAGCATATTGAGCGAGTCTTAGGAGGAAAATTCATATATTTTCGTTTCTCAAATGATAATCAGGGTGTCTCTTACCTTTTTCCATATCATTTTGGCTTACCTAACACTTCAGTTGCCAAATATCGGCAATTTATTCAAGCGAAGGTATTTTCAGCAAATATCAATGGTATAGACCGAAATCTTTTGAATAAAAACTCCAACCAACAGAAATAAAAATAACTTAATTTATTCAAACCATTTCCTCCAAATAAACAACATAAAAACTCACTTTTACACGCATCATTCATAATAAAGCATACTAACACGCCGCTTTTGACAATTGCGGCGTAGAGTGGCGCGCTGCTAGCGCTCTTTTTCGATCGCAGAGACCCTGCACGCACGCGAGCACACTACGTCACGTCCGGGGGGCACAGGTATATGAAAAATCGCAGTGACGTAACACTTTCCTCGCTTCTCATTGGTCAATAGCCCGTTGCCGGGGTAACGTGCACGTATGTGAGCGCGGGCAAGAGTACTAGCCGGCCGCCGATCAGGGCTCGGCAGCCGGCTAGTACTCTTGCCCGCGCTCACATACGTGCACGTTACCCCGGCAACGGGCTATTGACCAATGAGAAGCGAGAAAAGTGTTACGTCCCTGCGATTTTTCATATACCTGTGCCCCCCGGACGTGACGTAGTGTGCTCGCGCGCGTGCAGGGTCTGTGCGATCGAAAAAGAGCGCTAGCAGCGCGCCACTAGACGCCGCAATTGTCAAAAGCGGCGTGTTAGTATGCTTTATTATGAATGATATGTGTAAAAGTGAGTTTTCATGTTGTTTATTTGGA